ATTCAGAGAAGGTAACAAAAGACAAAGGTGGCAGAGATATACTGTAATGGCATAGAGCTAAATAGGATGAGAGAAACACATACAAGCGTTTCACCTGGGTAATGGTAACACCACTCTTAGGAGCTCAACAGCCTGGAAATTCTGAAAGGCTGCTTCTGGAAGGGGAGTAATTACGATGCCCACAGCTATCTCACCTCATGCTGGGATCCTGCACAACATAATAAGCAATGGCAATGCTGTCTTTCCTGCTGGTTTTCTACAACCTCCCAGAGAAAGTGGTGGCAAGGCGAGGGAGAGAAATTCTAGACAGTAATGGATTGTTTGATAAATTTCATCCTGGATGCAGGCACAGCCATGCTACTGAGGCTGCCCTTGTCAAAGTCATAAACGGTTTGAATGCTGCTGCTGAAAAGGAAGCCTGGCCTTGTTTGTACTATCAGATCTAGCCACGGGGGGGTTATTCTGTAAAAGGCTGTATTCTGTTTAGTGCCTAGGTGACTGGCTAGCGTTGACTGAGAATGCGTTGAAATGGTTCCAGCGGTACTTGATTGCTTTCCCCAATCAACATAGTAGGGTAAATTCTCTTCGAGAGCAGCCAGTTTCACACAATGACACTTGATCCCAGGGAGAATTCACCAGCAACCTGACTTAGTTGGCACTGAAGCTTTGCGCTCTTTCTCTTGCCTTTCAGAGAGATATATGAGATGCATTAGAGCAGTGTATTAGAACTCCTTTTTGGCTTTGTTGAAGAGGACTGTATTTCTAAAAGTACCAACAATCAGATATTCAGAAGCAAAAGACTTTCTTGTGCAGTCTTGATTATTAATAGAGATAAAACACTTGTTTGTACCTGTTAATTTGAAGACAGAATTCTTTTTAGGGTTTGTTTTTTTTTTTTTGTTTAAAGAGGCCTGAATTCTGTTTGTAAATCTGGAGTGAGAGTGCTGACATCAATGGACACATACAGCTGTAAATAACTTAAGGGGGAAATCTGACTCAACTGTCTGAAAACCAGAAGTCACTGAATAACTTTCCACAGGACTTTGGTTTGCATTCATGACCAGTAAGCCTAATAAAGAGAATCCAGTGCTGCTTCTGCTACTCACATACACTCAGGTTCAACCAGTAGTCTGGTACCATTTTAATCCTGTAGAATTTTTCTTTGTTCTCTTGCTTCTCAGGCTGTAGTGAGGCTGTGATCTGCAAAGTGTTTTCAAACCTTAGACCAAAGACCTGAAAAGGGGTTTAGCCACAGATCTTTCTGTATCTTGTCAGTGGGAAAACGGATTTGCTTCTTCCCAAGATGCCTCTCATCATAACATTTCATATCTGAAATTAGCATCCAATGACATTACCTGCAAATTCTTCAGTCTGAGATGCTCACCAATGTAACTGAAAAGGGCAAGTTGCAGAGGAAATTTGGATGAACCTTCACATTTGTAAGATATGGGTTCTTAGTCGCTACAACTTAAGGGTATGTAAAATCAAATTATAATTAACAATCTTTTGTGATCTTCACAGATAGAAAATGTGCAGTATGCAAAAGAGCTATCCTGAGTAATTTATTTATGCATCAGCTTTCTCATGTGTCTTCCTTTGTCCATGAGCTGAGGTAACCTGCTAGCTTCAAGGAGACTATAGAAGGGGGAGGGTAGTGTCTGTTGGTTTTTTTTACTTCATGACATAATTTAAATTAGTATACTGGATTTAAGGAGACAAATCATGTGCAAGTGCAGTGGAAACCTAAACAAAACTGAATTTGAAACCTTTCTTCCTTATTAAAAAATCAGAAAACAATAAAATCCAAGCACATCCTTATTTTCTTACTAAAACAATATAAGGAATATATGCAAAGTACATAACATACATTAAATCTATAGGACATTTCAGCTTTCCATTTTCACCCAACATGCACATTAGAAATCTGAATAGGAAATTTATTAGCATGTAGTGATAAATTGAAGAATAGTATTTCACAGATGGCATAAAGAGATCAGAATTTGATTTGGTATGCTTATTAGCACCATTGAACAAGCTCTGTTTAAGAAACTAGAAGAAAACATACCCTATCCATTTTTTCCCAATGAATCTTAATTTCTGTTAGGCATCTCCTGACTTGTAAATCAATCTTGTATTTTTCCTATGGAAATACTTAAAACATTCACATTGAGAATACATATGCTTTGCTTTAAAATGACCTTTTAATAGCTTCTTTTTTATATTTGGCTTCCTAAAAAAAAAACAGTTGGACTTAGTACAAACTGACGACTTCAGGTTTTGCACATTGTATTATGGTTAACCACTGCATGGCAGGGCCCTCAAAGCAGGCTTCTTGGTTCAGTAATGTGCATACCTCTTGCTAATACCCTCATTGCTAATCATATCTTGGAAGAATATATCCTGTTACAAGTTGAAAACAATTTCACAATTAACTTATAAATAAGTAGACCATAATTACATTGTGTTATCTCACTTTGTTTTTACAGCCTCATACCATGCTTCAAACAAGCAAATTAGATGTACAGTGCTGGGTGATATATGGGAGAGAATGTTGCAAAGGACAGATTTTAATGACCTGAGTTTGAAAGGATCATGTAAAGCCCCATCACTTAGATCATTTCAGACAGAGATAAGAACACTGTTTTCTTTATTTCCTCTGCTTTGTTTTGCTTTTTGGCACTTTATAGTAAACCATCTTGCCCACGTCATTGTACGAGACAGACAGGACTTAAAAATTTCATAAGAGTTCTTTCAACAGTTCTGAAAACAGCCATTTTTCTATGCCAAGCTAACACTGTTTCAATGTCTAATATTTCATAATTGACCAAGACCAAATCCAGATGGTTCATGTTATTAAGATAACATCAGCATCTTGCTGGGCACAGGAAGTATTTGCAGCTGCAGTAGGTTATGAGATAGTGGGACACAAAACTGTCTTCAGCCCCCTTTCTGACCTACTGGGTAAACTGGGGAGAAAATCCACTCTGAGGGAGAACAACATTTTAAAGAATGTTGGAGCAAAGGAACTGTCGTTCAAAATTAGCCAGACTTTGAATTTTATTTCCATCTAGTGATACTTAGCTTTCCATCTCTTCAAAATAAGGTTGACTAACCTTCTGTGATGCAGTTAAATGTCCTTGAAATTGTGTGATATAAGTAGAAGGAAACAGACTAAGTAAACACTGCCAAATATTCATAGTAGCTGTTATGGTGCTGTGTTTTGGGCTTGTGACCAAACCAGTGTTGATAACAGAGGGATGTTTTAGTTATTGCTGAGCAGTGCTTACACAGAGCCAAGGCCTTTTCTGGTCCTCATGCCATACTACCAGCAAGTAGGCTGGAGGTGCACAAGAAGCTGGGAGGGAACAGAGCTAGGACAGCTGGCCCCAACTGACCCAAGGGATATTCTATAAAATATGGTATCATGCACAGCATATAAAAGCTGGGGAAAGGAGAAAAGAGGGGTGTTTGGAGTGATGGCATTTATCTTCCTAAGTCATTGTTAAGCGTGATGGAGCCCTGCTGTCCTGGAGACAGCTGAACACCTGCCTGCCCATGGAAAGCAGTGAATGAATTCCTTGTTCTACTTTGCTTTACTTATTAGTTTGTCCCATGAGTTTTCTCATTTTTACTCTTCTGATTCTCTCCTCCATCCTAGTGGAAGGAAGTGAGCAAGCATTTGTGTGGGGTTGAGCCGACAGCCAGGGTTAACCTACAGCAAATTGCTGAGTGGCAGTAATACCACATAATTCACCACACCAAGCGCTTAAAAACATGAATGGTAAAAGCATCAGAATTCATACTCAGACTACTCAGGAATCTCTCTTTTTCATTAGATGAGGGCAAAGGAATGACACTAACTAATACTAAGAAAACTTTTGCAAGGCAAAACTTCCTTGTCTGAGAGAGATGAGGATACGGCAGTAAGCACAGTATAAGCTGAGAAGAAACAGGACATGTGATTCTGTGTTTTAGCCGAGTAGAGAAAGAAGGTTGCCACCTCCTGTATATATGGGTCTGGAAGAATGTGTAGGGTCAGGAAAGGTGAAGACTTTTATAATAGGCAACAGCTGAAGGTGCAAGGTTATGGCCTGACAAATGGCAAATGGCTATTTTCCACAGTGACTGGGAAAAGTGCAATAGGGAAAGCTTGTGGAGGAGATGAAGAAATTTGCTTCAGCCAGGAGGAGCTCACTGAGATGGTGACCAGACATTGCCAAGGAGACATCCATTTGTGTTTTCAGTTTGGATGAAAGTGGATAGGTCTGGATCAGGGTCGGACTTGTGAATTTCAGCACAGAGACAGCAGTTGAATTTGCACCTTGGAATCAGTAGGTCAGTTAGGCAGTAGGTAGGTTAAGGAAGGGGTGGAGATCTGTTTGAGGAGAAATCAGTGGAGACCTTGGCACAAGCAACACCAGTGGAATTGCAGCAGACGGCCCAGCACCAAGCTGGAAATGAACTCCAGGCAGCAAAAGTAAACAGCACTCTCAGCGTGCTTACAGATTAAGACGGAGGAGGGCGAGATGGTAGTTCTGAAGGCAAGAGGGTTCGATGTGTGTTTTCAGAGTGGAGAGATTAAACACACACTTGTTTTGAGAGGAGGGAGAAACAAAGGCAAATAACAGTGTACAGAGAGGAGTGGAAAACGAGGTAAGCAAGCACCAGGGGATGGAATAACTTGTTCCGCTTAATACTTGTATCCGTTTTACAGATCAAAACTGCACTAATTTCGGAAGCAGTTTATATAATCCATAAAAATGCATTTTATTAGCTTTTTTTTTGCTTTGAATCACTGACTTCTAAAGAATGAGAACAGCCATAAATGCTATTGTCTCCACAGGCAGCAATTTGGAAACAGAAGATGCAAGGTTATATGATAAGTGTATTTTCTTCATAAAAAAATGTTTGAAAATCAGGTTTAAAATAAGGGGGAAATAACTTTAAAATATTCTGCACTTCAGAAAATAATAAAATGTCTTCTTATTTTCCTCTGGTAGGCCACGCAATGCAGATTACTTTATGCAGGAAGCTAAACGGAAGAAGCATAAAGCAGATGCAATGGTGAGAACATTTTCTTTCCAGTTATGTTGCTCCAAATTATTTTTGTAATGCAGTTTCTTCATCAGTGCAGTATTGCTGGGGTAATTATAAAATCTATTATAAGGATGGCTAGGCTTGTTAAATTAAGAAATGTTTATATAATCAAATGTTCATAGCCCAATAAACTATGACTTAACAAATAATGACTTACTGAGATAAAGGCCTGGATAAATAAAACTTCCCATTTATTCCTTTGCTTTAATTAGTAACTGTAGCAATGGAGGCTGCGTAAGGGATACACATACCTGTTTCCCCAGTTTAAATAGCTGGCTAGGTGCTATAATTGTATCTCCAAATTTGGTCTGGTGGCTGAGGTATTTTTGCTTCTTTTAAAGAGGTTTGGCACTTGGGTGTCAAAAGAATCCTGGTTACATGGCAGACATTTCCCAACATAATCAGAAGTACACAAGGGATCTGTATAACCCTAGAGGAACACCTTGCACACAAAGGACTGTTGCAACAGATTCTTGGCCCTGGCTTTGACCTGTCTAAAATTGTAGCTGGTAGGAAAAGGGGGAATCCGAGATTATATGGAGCACTAAAGAGATGCTTCTCTTTTGAAACAAATGGAGAAGGACGTTTTACAAGGGCATGTGATAGGACAAGGGGGAATGGCTTTAAAGTGAAAGAGGAGAGATTTAGATCAGATATAAGGAAGAAATTATTCACTATGAGGGTGGTGAGACCCTGGCACAGAGTGCCCAGAGAAATTGTGGCTGCCCCGTCCCTGTCAGTGTTCAAGGCCAGGCTGGCCGGGGCTTTGAGCAACCTGGTCTAGTGGAAAGTGTCCCTGCCCATGGCAGGGGGGTTGGAACTACATGATCTTTAAGGTTCTTTCCAACCCAAATCCTTCTGTGATTCTATGACAAAGGGATGCAACAAAATACACAGTGCTCCAGGACAGCTCCCTTTGCCATCTCTCAGCTTTCTCCCAGGCTACGTTTGTCCAGTGCTAGAAATAAGTTAGCAAAGCCTTAAAAACATTCAGCCTCTGGGATGGCAGATGCAATATATGGAGTGGGACCCTGCATTGATATGGCTATCATCTTCCAGGTGGGGGCAGATTTGCTGACAGACACTTTGTTGTCACAGCAGCAGGAAAAAAGTAGCTCAGAACCTCTGCTTCTTCACCTCTTTTCCTCAGCTGTGCAGAATGTAAAAAGGCCAAGGCAGCAGAAGCAAGCCCTTAATTTAGGACACTAAGTTTTACACTCTACCTGAGTTTATTAGCGCAAATTTCCATGGTTTATTCAGTTCCATATTACTCTAAAGTGAGTCTTAAATCAGAAAATATTGTGGAGAAGTACAAATGGTGCATTTTAGTGTGTTGCTTTAAACAGAATGGAAAAGATCACTTAATATGCAAAGGAAATTCTTAGCCTGAAGAGGAATGTTTTTATGGTAGACTCCCAGAAACAGGAGGTGCAAGCATTATTCTCTACTCTGCTACAATTTTCCTGCATAAAAGTGTCTTAGGCACAGTTTAAATAGTCTCACATCAGTATTAGGTGATTGAAATACCCTTCACACTCAGCTTCTCTACACAGTGGACCAGCACCTTACTCACCATGTGAATCTCCCTTTTCAGGTACTTCCTTTCACTCCTTGACTCTGTAGGGATCCTGGAGGAAATGCCATATTGTCAATGTGCCTCCAGGCACTTTGAATCACTTTGCTGGGTCTGATACTTCCTACTTTGGCACTGCAGTACCTAACATAGGCACTTAGAGTGCACAGCCTGAAAATTACTCTAAGCCTCTCTGCTCCTTAGTTCCCCGTCTGTGAAATTGGGATAATAGCACTTCCACCCGCACAAGAGCGTCAGGGAGAGAAATATAATAAAAAGTTTGTGAAGTTCTCCAGTATGATCGCAATGGGAGTCATATAAGAACCTAAAATAGATTGAAGCCAGTGTGCCATTCCGAAGTTGCTATTTAAAATCTTTATCCCTTGGAAAAGAATAAGGTCCATTAACCTTTCACTGTGTGCATCAGATTTCAACCAAATGCATCCAGTCCATTAATGGGCTTTATGTACCGCAGGAGTTCTGACTGAAGGAAAAAGAAAGCAGGACAGAGGTATTAGTATGATTCATCTCTATCCACATAAAAAATGAAATTCTGAGAGCAGATTAAGTGGTATGTAAGTGTACACATATGAACATTATGTGCACATTTACATACACACCGTCATTGAGGACGTATATGCATGTACATCCATACAAGTATGCAAATACACACAAACTGAGTTAAAGTAGTAATGAAAATAAAGAAATGGGGCAGAATGGCATAAATAAAGAAGGAGGAAAATAAAGAAATGGGCAGGATGACATAAATAAAGAAGGAGGATGGCATAAGAAGCTGCAGGAGCAAAGCAGTCCCTGAAAGAGCAGGAGGATTTAGAAAGGAAAATCCTGAAAGAGGAGAGTGTGGTCAAGCAGGGCTGACAATGGTAGGGATAAAAAAGACATGAGAACAGAGATAAGCCTTTGAGTAAGAGTTAGTAGTATTTAAGTATTTAATTCTCGTTCTCTTAGTTCAAGATAATCACCTTTCTTTGCTCACTGATGATGAAAATCTACATTTTCAAAGATATGTGAAATGCTTTTTAATGAAAGCTGAAACAAAAAGCCTGAGGATGGAATTTCCAGCACTGGAAAAGCCTTGACAAACATCTTCAGGAATGTCCTAGGCAGAGTTGATCCTTTGTTAGGTGCAAGAGTGTGGGCATAATAACATCTTGTAGCCTTTTCTAGTTCTACTTTCTGTATCTTATGATTTTCACTGATGCATACCGTGTGATGGATTTTAAGTTTCTCATAGGAAAATTTGTGAACCTGAAGATGTACCAACTTGTGTCAAGTTTACAATTCATGTTGTGAAAATGCCATCAAATGTAACCATATCTTGATGATTACACTATTTCTCTGTGTCCTTGTTTTTTCCCTCTAGGTGGAAAAGTTTGGAAAGGCACTGAATTATGCAGAAGCAGCACTATCATTTATTGAGTGTGGAAATGCAATGGAACAAGGCCCAATGGAATCTAAATCCCCTTATACAATGTATTCAGAAACAGTTGAACTCATCAGGTAGGAAGGGAGGAGGTTACTCTGTGCAAACGTGCTCATCTACATTATCACATACTTCCTTAGATACAGGAAGAGGGGAGAAGTGAGGTCCTCCCAAGTGGGATGTAATGTATATGTATTATCTGTGATTGATACTAAATCAGGAAAGCGTGTATAGTGAAAACCAAAACAAAATACATCTAAATGAACGCCAAAGCTTTTGATATTACTTAGGTTGCAAATTATTTCAAAAGCTTCATGATGCAAGTTTTGCTACTCAAAAGGGAAAAATAATAACACATAACACCAAAACATTGCCATGGAGTGGTAGTTTGCAAAATGTTGCAATGTATTTAAGACTGCAGTTGAAAGATTACCTGAACAGTGATAGGAAATTGGACACTCAAGGTCCATTTGGTGCATATGCTCCTATTGTAGCCAGTGGAGTCCCAAAAGCTGTCCAGCTCACACTAAAGCTGCCCCTACACTTAGTCACCTTCATGACTCTCCAAACAGGACAGTAGAATTGAGTCCCACCCACGGTTCCTATGAAGAAAATTTGTCTCCTAAGTCTATTTCTCCATTATAGCTGGTACTAAATAGTCATTATTGACAGTGTCGGTAGAAAAAACAAAGGTCAAAATCATCCCAGCAGCTGAGTGACCGTCTCCACAAGAGAACAAACTCAGCCACAGTAGCAGAGAAAGCGGCACTGTCAGGCCAGCTTTCTGACTGGAAGGTTATTTAACAAAATCAAATTTTTTTTTTTTTCAGTAAGAGAATAGCACACCCCATCTCTGCAATTCTTTCCTTTTTATTTTCAGAAGGCAGAAAGCTCTTTCTTTCTCTGCCCCGTCTTTTCTCATGATAGTAAATATATGGTCCTAACTCTGGAAACTAATTTTGTTTGCAGATCCATAGCTTTCAATAATGTGTGTAGCTGTGGTTGTGTTGTAGTGTGATTTTCTGTTGATGTTACTTGCTGCAGCTCAGAAAAAATAAGTGCTTTGCTAGGTATGCCTGTTGAAACAAGATGTTCATACCAACTCTTTGCAAAGATATTGAAAGTAAAGATAAGAAAAAACACAAGCAGCTAATTGTGGGGGACAGGTATTTTTCTGGAAGCGAGCCCAGAAGTACTGTGTGTTGTCCTAACCTTGTCCATTGTTCAGGTATTCAGCTGGAAGCTGAGATTTCCAGAAACTGATTTGTGATTGCATGGCACATACACTCTTGAAACAGCAGTGCTACCTCTGTGGGTGTTTAATATTTATAGAATTTGAATGTAATGTCATATGAGCAAAAATAGCTCTGAGCCACATGTTCTCCTCTGCTGTGCTCTGCTTGGAGGAGCAAATCTGGTAGACATGCTCAGAACTGGCAGGGTGAGGGCAGCACCAGCTTCAAGGCAGGCTGTCTGCATTCAAACGTTGTGAAAACCTTTCTGCATGAACTCTGTGTAACTGGGTCTCCACAGCAGAAGAGGTTATTTTGGTAGGACAGCATCATCTCACCATCTAGGCTCCACTCTGCACTGATGGGTGTTCAAGGGAGTTACTGCTGTTTAAAGAGCAGAGGGAGGCAAAATATCTCTGAAACATGAGCAGAAAAAGCACATGCGTGTCTAGTAACTTGAGCAAATATGTACACGGGAGCAGATTAAATGACATTGGGCAGTTTAGCTCTCTGATCAGTAATATAAAGCTGTCTCAGTTAACTCACATTGGCTTTTTTCCTTTTGTTTAAGGTATGCAGTAAGACTAAAAACCCACTCAGGCTCCAACGCCACGCCAGAAGACAAACAGCTGGCGGCATTATGGTTAGTAAATCAAGATTTCCTCAAAAGACTTCTTTTCTGCAGTGAGCCGGTTCTTGAAAATCTCTGATTTTCATGCTGGACACAGCCAGATAGGATTATGTTGTTTATTGAAATTAAGAGAATACTTTCTGCTCCGGGAATGTCCAGCCCTTGTATCACACTGTATCAAGTCTGTATGCTGTCTCTGTAAATAAGCAATTCATACTTATTGACTGTGACAGGTCAGCTATGGTATGTCAGCATAATTAACTTTTAAATGCCTGATGGTTTGTTGTTTTTATGAGTGATGTATTTTTGTACCAATAGCTCAGTCATTTCTTTTGTGACTGACATTTTAGGCTCAATAATCATAAATTATGTTTATATTATATGAAGGGAGATACAGTGATGGTGTTAATTAAGCCTTTTGGATTACCCTCTAAATTGAGATTTCTAGATATATAAGCACGCACCTTAGATGCTATAGGATGGTTGCTGATTGCTAGTAAAATACTAAAATGTTATTAAAATCAAATTTTAATTTAATATCTATGTGGTTAATACATAAAATACCTATTACATGGTTACTGATTCTCAGTAAGTGGACATTTACAATCAGCAAGTGTGTTTTTAACATCTATTAACCATCTGTTAAAAACCCAAATCAAGTGCATCTTTAGCCTCCATAAATAAGGGCTCCTAATTAATCGTTTGTATTTGAAAGAATAAAATATTCAGAGATGCATTTATTCTTTAAATGCCCTTTCTTTGTCACTGGTTTGCTGTGCTGTTGGGAGGAGCACAGAACGCGCTAATGGCAATTGCTTTAAAGACACTTAGGTGGGAAAATTACTAAAGAATGGTAAAAAATAAAATAAAGCGGTATTACAAAGGGCTGCTGAGAGCTGCCGGAGTGCCTCGGTATGTGCAGAGCCACATCCAAATTCACGGAGCCGCTGCATCTGTTTCAGCAGAAAGGTCAGCGAGGGGGAAAGCAGACGGTGCCTTCGCTGGGCGATGAATAGCAATCTTAACTCACCGTCTGCCAAGCAGCAGATGAGCTGACACCATTTGCATATGCGCTGTACCTGTGAAGGTGACAGAGTGAGAGTTATGGTGGCGGCTGCGAGGCCACCGCATCCACTGGCAGCTCCCAGGCTGCCAAGCAGCTCCGCTTCTCCTGGGGAGAGACTGCCCTCCAGCGGCCAAAGGCAGAAATTCACCTTCTGCTGACAGCAGGAGGCTTGGAAAAACCCTGCCTGGGACTTTTTCCATGAGCGATTTTGCTAATTCGATGGGTTCGCTGAGGTTTGGGCAGCTCCTGGGCACGGGAAGGTGGATTTTTCTCTGAGCTTCCAAACTCAAGGCACCTTCTGGTGCTTCAGGTTAACTCCAAGACTAAATACAACTTTCAAAATAAGTCCTCCACTGCCAAAGGAAAACCAAAACGTGTCAGATATTTGCTGCGAAAGCTGTGTTACTGCGGGGCAATCCCACACCCATCGATCAAAAAGCTTGCTGGGAAGAGGCGGTGGTGATTCTTGATTCAGAAAATAAACCAGTACACCTAAAGCCAATAGCAAAGAAAAGAGTTTGTGTGTCCTGAATGCTGATTATCAGTTATAGTGATGTATAATTATAGTTAATAGCTATTACTCTCATTTAATTACATAGCTTTAAAGGTGTGTGGCACTCTGCAGACTAACGAGGTGCACAGGGGCAGGATAGTTCCAGTACAGCACATAGAGTTTTTCAGCCCACTGCTGCTTTCCTCTGAGGAACAAATCCAGCAGGTGGCCTAGGAATAGCTTCCAGGCTCCAACACAGTCTCCATTACGGTTTCCCACAGAGGAGCTTGGCCAGTGAAATCTGGGCAGGTCTGAGGTTTCCCTGTTTCCCAGCTATCTCCAGCTGCTGGAAGAGACTGTGGGTGTACACATAATACACCTGTTATAACTCTAGTTCATTATACAAGCTCCAGGCTATTGTGATAAACTCCCAGGAGAAGATACCCAAAAAGGCTGCCTTTGCACTTACAAAAAAGAATCTTTTAAAAATGCATATGTTGGGTTCTAGGCCTTAATGACCTTTTGACGGGAGAGGCCTCTGGTCAAGTGTGCAGACTTAAGAGTCAAGGCCTGGGAACCCAAACCTGCAAATCCTTCTGAGAACAGTTAGTTTAGTACCTTACTAGTAGCCTTTGTCAATGTGATCTGCCCTAGCTGTAATACCTAGCCTTGCTCCTGAATCCATGGCAAAGTGTGAAGTACTGTAAACAAATGGTGATAAAATTCATAAGCAAAGAGCTTTCAGCATTCCACTCCGCGTTAGGTTGAGACTTTAAGATAATTAATTGGGGTTTCTGTTCAAGGGGCATGCTTTAACTTCTGCTCTCCCTTTTGTTTTAGTTACCGCTGCCTGGCCCTTCTGTACTGGAGGATGTTCCGACTCAAGAAAGACCATGCAGTCAAGTATTCGAAAGCGCTTATTGAGTATTTCAAGGTATATTCTTTCTGGCATGTTTTTAAATCAGTGTGCCATTATAGAAAATATGGCATCTTACTTCAACAGTGTGCTGGGCTTAGTTCTTCCCCTGTGAAGTCAGTGGAGTTTTACCATAGACTCCCACTGCAATGCCTGATGTCTCTTCAGTTCTGTTGTCTTCACAAGGGCCCCTCATTGCAAAATACACACTGTGTCCCTTCATAAGGATGAGAGATTCATTGTACTAACAAACGGGTATTTTCAGATTATTCTTGGCCAATTGTCTAGTGCCATCCAGCTCCGTTATGATTAGGTTTACAGGTTTTCCAAGAATCCCCTCCGGTATTACACTTCTCACTAGACCTGTGAGTTGAAGACTTCGATCTAGATCAGTCCTCAGCTGCAGGGCTTCCACTTAGCAGAACTGATAGGTAAGAGAGTGCAGTGGGACATGCTCTTACTCGTGGAACTGACAAATGGCCCACATGACTTCAGTGGGAGTTGCACGAAAGCATCAGAGGGCAGCCAAACCACCTGCCATGTACTTGACATGACACTGCTTGCTTCACCTGCTACTGCTTGCATTTTCTACTCTGCCATGTACAAACCCTGGTTATTTTCAGTAAGACAAGAAGTCACTTGAAATATTTTAACACATTGTATTTGGCAGGCAACTTTTCCCTGGAAAGTATCTCAAGAACAAAAGCTTTCAGGTAGAGTTCACCTAGCAGCCAGTCCATCCAGCACTTGATCTACAAACCTTTATCTCTCTAAATAATAAAAAAATAGTAATATGAACATGCAAGTGCTTTAAGGCAAATTGTTTTGGGGGACCTTCTGTGCAGCCATTTGTCTTTGAACAAAGGGATTATCTCTTGGGGTTTTATTACAGAGAGAGGTACCTTGAAATGAAAAGCATCCATCCTTTGACATTTTGTTAATAAAAAAATTTCAAATACAAGCACAAATGCTCATGAGCAGATTCTGAACACATGAAGACAGTGAAAGAAATTGACAGATCTGTTATTGTGAAACTGAAATTGAAGTCACTGTAATTGCTTCTAAAAATTTAGCAATATATAATTCAACAAGTTATGTTTCTCTAACAATGCCTTGATTTCAGGGGGAAGAAATATGTGCCTATTACAGTACTTTATTCTTCTTCACCAGTTCAAAGAATACCTGGATTAAGAACAGAATGGTCAGGCTCTCAACCATGTAAAATGTCTCATACTAGCAGACAGACAAACTGTTTCACAGCAAACACAAAATGGACTTACACTTTGCTGCAGCCAAGATGAGCTTGTTTTTTTTGCAGAACTCATGCTGATATAATGATAGTGCAGTTTCACATTAGAAAGTATTCTCACCTTTGAAAGTAAAAATGGGGAAAAAAATCCATTTGCTCTAATTTTCAGTGGAAAACAAGCCAATTCTCCACTCATTTCGTATTTGGTATCTAAAAGCTTTCTAAACCAAGTGATGTGAAATGCTGACTGCATTAAGAACTTCCACATATATTATCAATCAAAGAAAGATTTTAAGCCTTGTCACACACATTTGCAGGGAAAATTATACACAGTTCTCTTTTAGAAAAGGAAAAAATATTATTTAAATCTCCTTTTAAGTATTTTCTTTCCATTATTAAAAAAAATAATTGATAATGCAGCAGAGAATTAAGAAGAAGCCACAGATGTTCTGGGGCCAGACATATTAGAGAGCATAAAGAAACCAAGAGAAGGGAAAGCAATAGGCAAAGTGGGGTAAGAGATGGCCCCTTACAACATTACACTCTTTAGAATCCTTACCCCAGCCTTCTGGTGCAGAACTGAGAGGAAGCTGGAGCAATGTACCTAAAACATGAGAAAAAAGGTGTGGTAAGTTGTACAGGAAGGCAGAGGCTGATTTACATTTACAGCTGAAGTACCCTTGACTCCACTTCGAGTTTTGTATTATTGGGCTTCCAACTCTGGAAATAAATAACATATACTTGGTTTCCATTACACTAGAAAGACAAAGGCCGGTAGTTTTTCTGTAAGAGGAGCAAATCCTCAGATTCCCAGGTTGGTTCTATTTAGGATGGCAAATGAGAACTTTTCCTTTTCACACCTTAACCCCCTTCCTGCCAAAAAAATAAAATTTAAAAAAAAAAAAAAAATAAAAAAAGGAAAACCCATTGAAGGAAGAACCCATGTGGGACATGGGACACTTATTTTTCATACCAGTTGCCTGGGATGGAGAAGGCCCAGGTTAAAATGCAGGAAGAATGCCAGGGCACACACAGCACTGATGTGATCCCTGCTAAAATGCAGCCAATGCCAGTGTGCACATGAACAGTGTAGGAACACAAGCAGCAGTTCAGAGGACACATCAAAACTGAGAAAACAAACTTTTAGAAGAGGTGCTAAGGAGATGTGTGGAGCTTACTGCAGAACAGGTTAAGAGAGGGTGTGATCATTGTGTACAGGGAAACAGAGCTGATAATACCAGGCAATGTGCAGTTTGCTGGCATTGGATCAACAAAATCCAAAAGCTAGCACTGAAGGTAAGAAAATTCAATCCTAAAACCCTGAAACAGAATCTGTTTTTCTAACTGTGAGGCCTATGAAACATCAGAGCAGGACACAGGAGGGAAAGAAAGATTAATAGTGTCTTAGGATTTCTATATGACTAGCTATCCTTTTCAAAAAGAATAAAATAGAATAAATTCTAAATGTCATTTAGCTTCTCGTAAAAGTTCCACGATTGGTGGGAAAGGCAAATTGCAGACTGAGTGTCCTGAGGGATTACTCCTGGCCTTGAAATCTGTGAAGCTCTGAAGCCCCTGGTTTATCATTTTTCCTTAGTAAGCCATAGATGGGACACAAGAGTTTTTGTAGTGCTGTTAATCCTTGTAGCTCCTGCAGCTTGCAACACCTGCAGTCTTGCATTTAAACAAATATCAAGTTCTCAAAGTGCAGAACTTCACTTCATCTCCCGTGGCTGTCAAGAAGGAAAGCAAGCACACAATTATCTGCATGTATGGTTTCAGGGGAGAGTGTGAGGAGGTCACTTTCCTCTGCAGAAACAGAGACTGGCCATTCCTGAATATGAGGCTATGGATGGAATGGACTAGAAAAGTTTTGTTTCTTAGACTTCTATTTTCTACATCCTTCTTTCTCACAGGCCCAGGATTAAATCGGTCACTGCATTTGGGAGAGGAGAAGAGTTTTCCCACAGGTCAAATGGGCAGGAACCTGCCAGAAAATTCCCACCAGCTCCTGCACACTAACTACTAAAATAATTTCCATTATCGCAGACACCTGAATTTCTGCTCTGTAAATGTAGTGCTTATACAAGGTAGTCTCTCCCCAGGCAATGACGTTCTTTAGCCTAAGCACACTGTACCAGTGAGAGTCTTAATGACTGCAAATACACAAGAGATTACACTAAATCTAATGTCCCCTTTGGGGGGTTTGTTGGGAACTTTCTTCAGCTAGAAAAAACAGCAGTGTACAAAGTCTCTCTGACACTGTGAATGCTGCTGTATTCAGACAAAGAGGAACAGCTCCAAGAGGAGCAATCGTGAGAGAGATTCTTGAGCCTGGTGGTTAAAACACCCACCTGAGATGAAGAAGTCTCAGATTCACATCCCTGTGGTCAGCCAGGCAGTCCTGCACAGTCTTGCAGGTCCTAGGGGAATGACATTTGTCTTTGAGGACAGGAGAGTAGGAGGAAATCCTTCTGGCTTTCTCTATCACAAGAAATTCCAGCCTAAACCTCAAAAAAAGTCCTAGCAGCACTTTCTTCTGAACTCCCAGGATTTCTGTGAAAAGTTTTCATTTCAACTAACATGTTTTCTTCATCAGTCCCCATGCCAGGGTGTTTAATAGACTGTGATCTGAGTCAGTGCTGTAGCACTGCTTCATCATAACACCAAACCAGGCTGAGCTGGTTTATTGCATCGTGAGACTTAAATACTTGTACTTGCACAATTTTTTCTTTCATTTCTTTACTTTTATACTGTTTAATGTAATTCATTTCATAGTCTTATATAAACTATCTACCTTCTGAATTACTTTTTCCTTTACAGAATTCATCAAAAGCTGCCCAGAACCCATCTCCTTGGGGTGCCAGTGGAAAGTAAGTCGCACAGAAACATACATTAGATTGGCAGTCAGAAATAATATTTTCTTACCTGCAGTATGTTCTGATATTCTCACGGTTTTAATCCCAACACCTTTTAAGTAACTGTATTAATGTCTGTTTCCAGGAGCACAGGAACACCATCACCCATGTCCCCTAGCCCTTCTCCAGTCAGCTCTGTAGGATCCCAGGGGAGCACAGGGGCCCCTTCCCCATCTCCTATCGTCAGCATACCACAGCGTATTCATCAGATGGCTGCCAACCATGTCAGCATCACCAACAGCATCCTGCACAGCTATGACTACTGGGAGATGGCTGACAACCTGGCCAAGGAAAACAGAGGTGAGTGAGTCAAGGCAATGGACTATTCTAGAAGACTGTCACATGATTTTGATCAGGAAAGTAATTATTTTGATAGGAATCCTGTCTGCAAAGTAAGACTGCAGAGGTGACTTTTTTCTTCAGTCTGCTCATAGTTTGATCAAAACATCCCCAAAAGGCAATTTTGATAGCTGTCTCACTATCCCACTAGGTTGTTTTTTTCTTTATTTGGCTGGTCAGGACTGGTGACAGACAGGTCACAGACATAGCTGTGGGTAGCATTCACTGCCATCTGTGTCACTCTGGAGAGAGAGGTTTGTGGCAGGCAAAGCAGCTTCCTTCCTCCCAAAGTTGTGGAGCTGGATGGCATGTGTTTAGCCACTCCATGTCAAAAAGTAGGAACATACTTCCCTTCTGCAGAAGGAGTGAGCAGCCCCTAACCCTCCCCCCATCCAAGCAGACACAGATGGGAACGAGGCACCTCGTTCTCTCTTAAGAGTAAACTTCTCTCAGCTGAACTGCTTTCCATGAGCAAATGCCTCAACATCTGACTTGATGGCAAAGTATTGCTTGGTTTTCAGGCTAAATTGTGTATTTAAGGCCAGGATTCAAATGAAGACCCCTAAATGTAGGTGTGTATATATGAGTTGGGGCAAGTGGGCTAATCTCTCATTGCAGTTGATGGAGCTTTGTTCAATACAGTCAGCAGAGTTCAGAGGGCTGCCCAATTCACCCTGAAAGGGAGACTGGACTACAATTCAGTTTTTAACCATAGCTGCCAAATGCCATTATCTGAGGTATCCTTACCTACACTCCCACTGCTGAAGTCTCCTGTGTAAGATTTGCCTGTTCGGGTTGTTATCAACTGCCTGGGAGCATCTCAAAGTAGGCAACTGAATTAAGCCCCTAGTGGCTAGTTAGCCAATTTATTCTTTAGGCTGGGCTGACCATGTTGCACAGGCCTCTATTACTCTGATATGGTAGCTTAAATATCTAGCATATGTATAGACAGACTTTTGTGTGTAGACTTTTTGATTTAGCTGTCCCTAATCTCCAAATAAATCTTGCCCAGCATCTGTTTGCTTTATCAAGACTCAGTGGAAATTAATGAAAAGCAAAGCTGAAGAATTCACTGCTTGGCTCTTTAAAAAGAAAATTGTTGTGCATCAGCCTGTAACATCATGAACCATAGGGCTTTAAAATTAATCTTGCTAGCACTAAACTTTCATTCCTATGAAATGTTCAGCTTGGCTCAATTTGCAAGAGAATAAAATCTATTAAAGGGTGACAAGTAGTAAATGCAGTTTCACTCTTCTGATGCTGAATCTTTTTTTCCCCTGTAGATTTTTTTAACGACTTGGATGCATTGATGGGACCTATCACCTTGCACAGCAGTATGGAGCATTTAGTTCAGTACACTCAACAAGGACTTCACTGGGTGCGGAATAGTGCTCACTTGTCATAATGACTGTGTGCCATTCACATGGACAGTATACCTTTCATGGATAATTCAGTTATTCTGGACACTGTGCTACAGATACAGTCAACCACAGCATTGATCCAAACAAAGGTGACTCTTTCTTCAATACTGAGTAAAATTTTTCTGGGTGTAGACATGTATGTGTACATATGTACAATATATGATGTCACTTCAGAATGAATTGTTCTGTATTGCTCTCCAAACACTTTCATACACTAGAAATACTAGAAAGAACTGATCTTAATGCACAAAGCATACCCTTTCTATTCTTGTATTGAAAAACTCAGATGCCAAAATCTCATGGGTTGATTAAACCAAGTGCAATAAGCACAGATCCCTATTCAGGAAAGCTGTCAATAGATTCCTAACTTTAAGCTTGCACTGAAATCCCACTGACTTCAGCAGAGCTTAAGCACATAAACAAGGGCTTTCCTGAACTGGAATGAGTGAGGGCAAATCATAGACGTGGAGAAGTTATACTGCGAGCATGGACACATCACAGCAGCTTCAATCTTAATGTGTCATTTCTCTGTTACTTCTCCACTGGGGCACACAGCGGAGCTGTGTAGCTTGCATTAAGTTGGAGAAAGATGGCATTCTTTCATGGGCAATAAGTTTCAACAAATTGCATGCGTTTCTTTATCTCCTGTCTTTTTAAATAACTTTACCTCTTGTTCAGATCCTCACCAACAGTATAACCTACAGGATCAAGCAAAAAGCCTGAAAACAGATATACTGACAGCTAAAGCTTTGAAGAGATGGTGGAAAATTGCATTCTGTTACTGACAGTAAACAGATAAATGAAAAAATATGGCAAACTGCAATCCACTTAGTAAAGAAAATGTGTTAATTTAGCTACATACACTCAGAGAGACAGAGAGATATCTATAACAGTTGTTGGCTTTGCATGGGAAGGCTTCATCCCACAGATATTTACTTTCATACCTTTCTTCATCTAGCAGAAGCTTGCAGCATTTTCAGCTGTATGAGAGCATTACATGCTATTTCCTTTATCTGGGAAGCTGAGTTTGCTGCTTGTCAGGCTAAGAACTGTTTCCTATCATAATCCTCTCACTCTCCATGCATAATACTCAACTAGGCTTTAATGTTTCTTGATTTATGG